CCACTGTCGCCAAGTGCTTGCTCAAGGGGGATTTGTTGGGTTTTCCCTATGTAATAATAGTGATAACAGTAAGGTCTAGACCTTACTTTGTAAAGTGTCCTGAGATGACTTTTGTTGTGATTTGGCGCTATACAAATAAAATTTGATTTGATTTGATTTGATTTGACAAATACAGTGGAACCTCAGTTTTCGTATGCCCTACTTTTTGTGCGATTCGGTTTTCGATTACTTTTTTTGTCAAAATTTTGTCCCAGTTTTCGTACATCCGCTCGGTTTTCAGTTGATTGGTCGGTTCAGTGTCATTAGTCCATACCAAACCCGTCTGCCTGCCCGCATGACTCGGCCACTCATTTCCCAGAAGAAATGAGTGAAGGGAAGTAACCCCAGATAGGGCCTTGATACATGAAGTCCTTATGGAGGGGGATTCCCCTTACAAACAATAACCTCTCCTCCTCGCCGTCTTCCATATGCCAAAAAGAGTCTTCAAAAAAGGTAAAAGTGATGTTAAATGTTCATTTATTCATTTCATTAGTCATTTATATTTATTTCTCATTGTTTTCAGTATGTAACAATATAGTTATTTTCTATAAAATGTATTTTTTGTTAATATTTTTGGGTGTCTGGAACGGATTAATTGGATTTACATTATTTCTTATGGGAAATATTGCTTCAGTTTTCGCACGATTCGGTTTCGTCTGACCTTTTTGAATGGATTAATCATGAAAACCGAGGTTCCACTGTACATTGTTTCATTTTTTTTAGGTGACAATATGCAACTACTGAAAAGGAAATAATATATTGTCTTTTTATAAATAAAAAGGTCATAGTCAATAGAAAACACCCTTGCAAAATTCAATACTTGCAGAGGGTTTGCTGCTACAGACTCATCTGCTCTGGTAAGAACAGTAGCTTATGGTGGTTAATGTTTCTAATATTAGCAAATGTTAAATACTTCTGAAGCTGAAATTATAAGTCAGTCAGCAGGTTTGCTTACTATATAATTCTACTGTCCTCATGTTTCTATTATATTACATTTTACCTTTTACAATTGTCCCATAAATGACACTTTTTAGCAGTATATACCGTACATACTGTATTCTCTGTTTAAAAGACTACATTTCCTACAAAAGTGTTTGTGGCAGCAGGTCAGTGTATGTGGTAATGATTCAAACTATAGTCTCCACATGCATTGTGATCATAGTTTGTGAAAAACAATAGAGTTCTATGGCACAATGAAATTAGATATATTAATATCTGATACAGAGAAGAAAATTACTGATGGCCACCACCAGACCTGTTAGTTAACAGGGAGGCCACAAGTACACCAATACTAAAGGTGTGTAGAAGGGAGCTCTAAATGCAGTTGAGTTGTGACAGTGAGACAGTATTTGCTAAATGAATACCTCAAACGCTCCATGCTGCTGTGGAGGTAAGATGTGGTTTCACTCAGTATTAGGCAGGTACCTACCTACCTAAAGTAAGAACTGACTGTTGAAGAAGCTTAATGATTTATTTTTGAATTAATAAAGATCTGCCACAAAAGCCACACTCATCTTTATTTTTTCTTTTTATGCCTTGATTTGCTGCCCTCTGGTGTGAAGCAACAGAAGTGGTTTAGATGAACTTAAAGAGCCCATGGTATGCTTTTCCTTGTTTTTTATCTACAACGTTACAATGGTAAATCATTTTAAATGTGATCTAAAGCTCAAAAGATGAGGTGAACGCATGTTCTAGTATTTCTATGCAGAAGCAACTTGGTTTATACACGAAGTATTACGTGATAGTTTAAGGATTTCCTTGAATGGGCAGAATTTTTCAACTGCTACTATGTCTGCATTATGCCAATTAAAATATGGGGTTTCTCAATTATCTGCTTTGTTTAGAATGTTACACATCTCTTTTCATCAATACTTATACCACTCTTTACCTATCTGTGGAGGAGAAATTCAAATTAATTAATGCTGTCGCAGTTCATTGTGCTGTGCACTTGAGACACAACACCGGCAGTAGGAGTTGTGCGTGTTCACAAACTATCTTCTCATTTTAAGGAAGAGGCTCTCTGGTTTTATCATTCTGAAATACTTACAGACCATTTGGAGTTAAGAGGGGTGCAAAGCTAATCTAGAGGTACCCAAGATTAAACATTTTAAGTACAAGTAACTGCCAAAATAAAAGAAACATTAACAGAAACTGTTTTGATAAAATGTTGCTAAACCTAGAAATGTCATATCGGCTTCTGTTTAACTTGTGGCACACTGAGCTGCAACAGGAGCAGTCACAGCCTGAGCACGATGGAATGTAATCACTGATAAACAGTTTTAGGCCTGACTGGAAGCTCTGTGTTTGTCTTTCTACATTTCACTATAGTCTATATCCTGGATGTACTGTATTCAACTCTGTCATATACTGTATATTTGACAGATACAGTATCTGTAGAATGCTAACCAAAGTAAATGGAACTTGATTTTGATCCAGTGTGTTCCCTCCATCATGCCTTACCCTAAAACTTCGTTTTCGTTTTTGGGGCCACCGCTGCTGACAGGAGCGTGCATGTTAGGTGCAAAACAAAAATGACACTTTGGTTAGTAGGACATAGACAGAATCACTCATGTAATAAACATCAATAGACAACAACTATCCCTGCTGCTAGAAAACTAAATTGCATTAAGTTTAGATGGGAGCTTGCCATACATGGCCTCTTTTGCCATCTCCATCTCTGAGTGACAGCCTCATGTCCATCAGCACGACGCCCATGTCCTCTTCCAGGCTGTTTGGGTCATCCAAGGCTAAGCACAGTTCGTTGACTCTGAAATCAAAAGCTAATTTCAGCCTCAATTAAAGTTAAACAAGTGAAATGTATTTACTCCGGAGCAGATGTGCGTTATATGGTTAATGTGGGTTGCAGAAGTAGGCTGTACCTCTACAGTCTAAAATGCAATGCAATACAACAACCCTGCAATAAATTTGACTTTTTTTTACAATGTTTAGTTTTGTTGACACAGTGTCAAAGAGGTGACTGTAGACAGTCATGTGGTTTTATTGTCTTGCAATAAAAAAGGGTCCACGTTTACCATGGAACTGAATCAACACTTCTGTCACGCAATGTCAATGAAAATGCACAAAATACGCTTTACAAAGACAGCAGTTGTTGCAGCACTGTTGTATTAGACTGTGCTGTACAGTACATCTGTACATGATACAGTAAAGTGGTAACTCATTGTGTGGGCTTGAGTGTGTGCAGAGGTCGACAGTGAATAAACGGGCTGGATAAGAGCTGAGCTGGACTTTTGAAAGAAAAAAAACATGGCTTATTATGTATTTTATTTCAGTATGTTCATTTTTATCTATGATTACAATAAAAAGAAAAATCATGAATCTAAACAAAAACACATATTGTAAACCATTCATACTACAGCCCCTAATATTCTATGCAATACGCACTATTTGTACACAATACATGCTAAAAGTAGAGAAAACACTCATCAATAAAAACATAACAATTGAGGGTTTAGTACAGTGATTCCCAACTTTAAAATCAGGTCGCAAAACAAATCTGGGGAGTTGTGACATGACTACCAAGGGAGAAAAGCACAAACACATTTCTACTACACAAAAAACTTGAAAAACACTGTTTAATTTTAATTTTACATTTTTAGGCCCAAATAAAATCTTTGAGTCTAAATGTCCACCCAGAAAGGCATAAGGCTTGGGGTTTAGAAACCTACTGAGTACAATGAAACTGCAGCTGCACTGTTCATTGTTTAGGAGCAAACTGACCACCAGGCAGTTCCTATTTTCACCATTCATACTCCAAGTGAACAGCCTGACAGATAAATTGGCCGATAATAGCTTGTTTCAGAAATACTGTTATTAGCATTTGGTTGGATAATAAATAACTAAAAACTGCAGTACAGTATTGCCAAAGATGCTTTAGAAGCATCTCCATTGCATGGTTTGTCCACTAGAGAGCACTGACAAATTTATGTGAAACCGTTCTTCCCAGCTCACATCACACCATCACATTTCTTAAAAGAAAATATCAAGGGATTGTTATCAAAAGTGTTTGCTCTGTGTTTATCGGGAAAAACACTTGGCTGTTGACGCTACTGATATTTTAACTCTCAAATACTGATATCAGTATTGGCCTGAAAGTATCCGTTTATCATTTACCTACAGAACGCACTCCACCTGCTTCCAGCACAGCCTACTACACTCACTACTACACAGCACTGTACTCTGACTGAGGTACTCACTTGTCAATCTCCACATCACTCAGGAGGACACTGGCAGAACCCATGAAGTCATCAGATGTCAAGTCACGGTCATATACCTGCATCATGTTAAACAACAAGAGAATGCTGATACAGATAGCAGCATAGGGACAATGACTGTAGTAGTGATTGATTGACTGTACCGCTGTCTGTAGAGCCTCATACACCACAATGACAGTGTTTTATTGCCCATAGATAGATTTACAGAACAACGTTATAAAGTTTCATTGTGAATATGGCTCACTAATGAAATGCTGCATGGTAGAAGACATGCACTAACATGCTCAAAGGCTGGGTGGCAGTAAAATGGGTGCCAAGAAAGCTGATCAATAAAACATTTAATTCATGTGTTGACATGTATCATACAGCAGAAAAGCCACCAAGTTAATCCTAGTGAGTGGATATACAGTAGCTCCCAGTTGGTCAGTACTTGTTTGTGGGTTGCAAATTACAACTTCCTTTATGCACAACCCCCTTGGTGCACCACCACAGAGGTGTTAACATGGAATTTCCACAAAGCACTGTGCATTGCAAAAAGTGTATCAAATCAGCAGATTGACAGTTAACAGCTAACAAGAGACACATTGCTCCTGACTAATTTAAACCATCTAACACCTTTTTGGGTGTTTCCTGTGTTAACTGACTGACAGAACATTAACAGTTGCTCTTATTGTAAAACATGTTTCTTTGACAGAACAATAGTGTAAACTCATCAAGAGTGACACAGACATTACCTTGATGTACAGCTTCTGATTCAGATCCTTCACAGGTAAAGAAAAGGTCTCATTCCACAAGGGGTTGAGGTTTTTATAAACAACTTTGCTTTTGTAGAATGTTTTCCCATCCAATTTGAATTTCACGTAAGGGTCGCTGGTACCTGAAAACAATATGCAACATAAAAAATGAAGACTGGATTATTTACTTATACTATACTTGCTGATGTCCTTTACACTGATCAGACTGGTACTTGGCACTGGCATCTCACCAGGACAGAGGTGTTAATGGAAATAGTTACTGAGAACTGTGGTCTGTTAGTTTGTGTTGAACTAATAAACCACAAAATATTCTTCCAGGATGTTTGGTTTCTGAATTCAGACAGCAACAGAAGCAAGGTCACATCTGCTCCTCTTACAAAAGCTGGGTTGACTTGTCACTGACTCACGGGTGAAATCATCCTGCTTTCCTGATTTCCCAATTCGGTTGCTAAAAACAAGTTCCTCTTTCTTTTCAATTTCTAAGGAAACATTCAAGTTTCCAGCAAAGGGAAAGACTGGTCTGTTCTCTGTCATCTTTCATGAGTCTGCTTGGAGGATGTGGTTTTTTTTCTCCCCAAACTATGTGACCAAAGCTTCCTGAAGCACTTTTCATTGCACTGTGAAAAGTGATATTTATTTATTTTAAATGTGTTGATTAAGATCTTATGACTATAGTGTCACATAGAGATTGGACAATAGGTAAAGCTGAGTGCGCCAGGATTCAGAACATAGAATTCCTATTACATTATGAGGTTTTATACTTTTATATCACACATATGTTGCTGCTGTGACAAATCAGTTTCACCTCAAAGTAAAGGAAGTGCAATCTGACTTTTACCTGTTCTGTCCATTAAACAACTGAGGGCAGATGGCTACCAAACACAGTTTGTGGACCATCATCTTATATTCTTCTGCATCTATTTATTATAAGATCATGCCTAGTTCTGTGAGGTTTTGCTATTAGAATATAAGCACTACATTATAAACCCATCACACAATAAACCAGCAATTGCCAGCATATCCTACGTGTGCAGTGTATATAATCTGATCAAACATAAAAAATAAAAGACATGCATTGCTTTTAAAAGGTCATATGGCCAAAGCCTTGGACTTCTCAGCAGCAGGGAGAGGGAGACTGGTCAGAACTGAGGAAATCAAGAATGCAGCCAAATACAAAGAGGCCCTTGAAGAAAACCTGCTCCAGAGACTTGACACTGGTGCAACAGTGACCTGAAGCATGCAGCCAAGACAACACTGGAATGGCTTCAGGACAAGTCTGACTATCCCTGAGTGGCCCAGACCTAAACCCCACGGAGCATCTGTGGAGAGACCTGAAGATGGCACTTCACCAACATTTCCCATCTGGTCTGATGGAGTTCAAGAGGATCTGCCAAGAAGAATGGGACAAACTGCCCAACTCCAGGGGACAGATGTATAAACAATCCATACACACAAAAACCGTGCATACGCCTTTCCACACACATAAAACTGGTATGTATAAACATAGAATGTGTGGGTAGAATGTGCGTACCTCAGGCATACTTCAGACAATGCATACACGGGTTTGAGTGTGTGTTATATGGTGAACTGGAAATGAAAAATAAGGTGAAAGGAAAACAGCCAGTTTTAAATAGCTTGCATTAATCTTAAGTGTTTACATATATTTCGGTTCATAGACACTGCGTTTAAGTTGGCCTAATGAATTCTGTTCCTATTTCTTTTGGCTTACCAACACTTTTCCTGTTTTTCATTTTAGACTTTCTTGTAAGTTATTCTGTAAACTGCAGATATCAGTCCCATTAATTCACTTTTGTTGTGATAATGATTGAGGCATGACTAGCCTATCACTAAGCCTTTACAGGGATGTGATCAAATTACAATGCTCTGCACAGTACATAGCTGTGGCTGTGTATAATGGTCATGCATAATGGGTAGCTGTTCATGGCTTTCATTGCCATGTCTAATATAGCATGGTTCACAGACCGTTTCTATATGCAAATGACTGACTAAAGGCATGTCTATGTCTATTTATGGCTAAAGGTGGGAGTGGAAAAGAAGCTTGTGTATGTGCGCCAATTCCATGACAAATAAGATTTATAAAACAGAACCAGGCAAATGTGTTGCTTTACAAATCTGACAAAAACAATGTGTACACACACTTCTGTCTTAGTGTGTACACACAGTTTTAGTCATGAATCTACACAGACCTTTTTGCATCTAGCTCCAGGTGCACCAAGCTTGTAGAGACTTAACCAAGAAGACTTAAAGCTATAGTTCCTCAAAATACTGGATTAAGGATCTGAATGCTTTTGTAAATGAGAGATTTCAATTTTTGATTTTTTTATTATATTAGCAAAAATTTCTGAAAAAAATGTTTTAATTTTCTCATTAATGGCTATTGAATGTAAACAGATGAGCAAAAAATTGAAAGTTGATCCATTTAAAATTTAATCTACAACATAATAAAGTGTGCAAAAAGTGAAGGGGCCTGAATGCATGCCCTGACTGAAAGTCTCATGTACTGAATAGTGGGTGTGGCTCAGACAGGTTTCAATGTGTTGTGTGGAATTCAGCCCTGGCTGAAAAAAGGAGCTTTACAGCCAGCCTGACACTCGGCTGTCTTTGGTATCCCTGGAGTCAATAACAGTGTGTAATTAAACAAATTTTACCTAAGTGTCATTTACAAGCCAAGGTTAAACACACAATCTATAAACAGAAAATATGCACCAGCAGAGGACACTGATAATTTCTGGTAGGTTCCAAAGTCACAACACACCTCTGGGCACACATAATCTTAGGTTTCGTGAGTTTTGGTAACTATGCCAAGATAAGGTGAGATGAGAGCTGATACAACTTTGATGTGTTGTTTCAGCAGGGACACATGAGAACAGGAGCAAAGTAGAAATGAAAAAGAGTGCAGCACATTCAACCAACAGTTGCAACATGAGAAGAGAACTGGAAGAATAAAAATAACATGATGCATGATGACGTAGTACTGTAGGTGAAAAACAGTGATTCAGAAGTAGTCAAAAGTGGAAAAACACAGCACAAGGGATACTGCATACTATATCTGCTGATAGGTGAGCAGCAGCGAGCAGTGGCATGTCGTTAATCCAGCACTGAATAAATGCATTCCTAGCTGTTACGCTCATGACACCTTGAGGCAAAGAAATTGTATGGACAGAAAAAGCTGACCAACCAGCAGGGAAGTTAAAATGAATGTTCTTACCAAATACTCCAGACTAAGAACAAGAGTGTAAAGTGATAAACAGTACTGTATAAAAATGAATGACTCCACTTCCTCACTTTTCATTTGCTGTTGGTTTTCCCAAGTATTATTTGTTTCTACAGCTCAGTTTTCTGGTTTGGACCATTAAGGTTTCATTTTACCTTACAGTCACTGCAGTTTCATGTCTCATGCTATCAACAAGCACAGGTGATATACTGTATAACGGCACTGTTGTTAAAAAAGTTAATCCTGATACAATAGTTGTAATAACAGCAGTGCTTACCACAGCGGTCCCTGATGACCAGGTTGCGTCCTTCCTTCAAGTTGATGGGCAGCAGGAAGGACCTGGGAGG